TATATATATAGCATGATGTAATCCACGTGTGTTCATATATATATAAATATATATATATATATATATATATATACTATTCTAAAGGGAGTTAAACTTGACTAGAGAAATCTTTTATTTTAACCTCCTATTACCATGTGTACTTGTTAAGTCTTTTTGTATATACTTTTGGAATTTGGCAATAAAAGTGAAATGAAATGAAATTTGTCAAAATAGAAATCCAGTTTAGCTTGGTTAAGAGAAAATCCACAACGAACAGATTTCTGCCCTTTAATCCTCCATAGTTCACTGCTTATAAACTCATCTTCCTTCTAAATTTCACTAAAATCATCTTTATTCTCACTTGGAAATCATTGATACAGCAGGCGCGGATTTAGACCTTAATTCGCACCCTTCGCCATGGCGAATGTTAGAGCAAGAGACATATAGTACACAAAGAAACGTCAAAAACAATACAGAAAGATTATAGGTTGTGCGATTGTGAATAAAGCTCTGGATCCTCTAACCAACGTCCATCCACAGCAGCAGCAACGATGAAGGAATGTGATGGTGACATTTTTCCTAATGTATCTGTGCTTCTAGACTGTGCTGCTTTAATCCCAGTGTGGTGCCCCTCCAATCCCGCTCCCTTTAAATTTGTCAAAATTATTTTTAAAAAAAAGAAAGAAATTTATATTCAAATTCAAATCATACATTTTTTTACCTCAGCCCCAACCATGGTGGGGCTGAGGTGTTATAGACCCTCAATCTGTGAATGTCTGTACTTTTCACCCTCTATTGCAAATTCCTAGACCTGCCACTCACTGACAGTGGCAGATTCAAGAAGGCCCAGTCCTGAACTTTTCAAAATAAAAAAAAATGGGGAAACAAAAAAATGATATTCAAATTGTATGCAAGTTCAATTTCGGTCATTTGGAGGCGCCATAATCATAAATTTTCTCCCTCAGCCCCAAGCACGGTGGGGCTGAGGTGATATCCCCTACATCTGTGAAAAGTCCCTACCTGGCCCCAGTCTTCAAATTCCTGTATCCACCACTGAAAACTGATGATATCCCCTACGTCTGTGAAAAGTCCCTACCTGGCCCCAGTCTTCAAATTCCTGTATCCACCACTGAAAACTGTTTAATACATGCATCTTGAGAAATCGATTAAATAAGGCCTCAAATTATAAAAATTGCCTGAGCTCCCCCTCCCTCGATCCTAGCAGGGTTTCCCCTAGGCGCGAACTCCCTCCCCCTCTAGAGCCATTTTGGTCCACTTTCCAAATTCGCACCCACCTAAACTCACATATAGTGGAGCTATAGAATAGCTGGAAAGCTTATAGGTCGCAGCTTAAAAATCATCATACTAAATAATATTCAGATAATGTATGCTATGTAGCACCATTAACACAATATACAAATAGATGCTAATAACAGTGCTCAAATAGGAACAAGATGTTACAATCGTATCAAGCATGACCTTCAACGAAAAGCTCTTTTTAATTCAGTTATATGAATAAAAGGGTCTCTGGCGAAATTAGAACCTGCAACCTCACTGTCAGACGAGTGAATTGTATTGTTTAATTGTAACAGTTGTTAATATTTACAGCTTCAGGGGCGGATCCAGCCCGGTAAGAAAGAGAGGAGGCGTGAATGTCCGTACTAAGTGAGAGTCACAGGAAGGAGCCCCTTGTAGGGGTGCAAGGGTAGATTCTCCCTTAAACCTCTAGCACCTTCATTAATTTGAGTTGATATTTAATTGATTTTTGTGTCTGCTGCCCTCAGGCAGTACGCACTTTGCTATCCTGGTCAATCCGGAAGCGTAAAGTTGACATTGTGAGCGCGAGTTGACATTCACAAAAGTGTGAAGAAAGAATCCGGAAGTGTAAAGTTGACATTATGTCACATTCGTGATGTGTGATATGACGTGATTTTACTACTCTACTACCTGTAAACTCGGTCGTGTGTGGTACGATGCATTGCTAAGCAATTCGTCATTATCTTTCAGGCACACAGTTCCGAAAGTTCATTTTGGTTGATATTGCGATTTCTATCTTTTCGAAATAAAAAGGTGGGAGAGTGCATGATTTGGTAAAGTTTTATATGAAATGGATCTTGATTAAGCTAAATAGATATTGACAACATATTATATTCCTTTAATTTAATTTATTTTATTTCATTTCATCCCCAACAGCACAACTTGCAGACCCAGGGAGGCACTTTTCACAGATAAGGGTCTAGACCAAATAGATACATAATTAAGAGTAGACCATAAAGGTCAATGAGTAGACTGAATACAAGGTAAATGTTCTTGTTTGTAAGTTGATTTATATTATAAAAAAGCAACCATGTAAACACAGTTAGCTAAGGGGGGGGGGGCATCAAAACCATTCTATTTCTCATTGACTTTTTTTAGCCAAGCATATAATAAACATAATAGCACTGAATGATTCAACACAAAAACCACCTAGTCACTTCACCAAAAATTAAACCAGGAAGAATCGTACATTCCAGAACAGAATACAAAATATCTCAAGCTATAACTGAAAGACAAATCTGGATGTAAGTATTTCATTTGTAATTAATATAGTTATTTATAGTAATATAGTTATATAGTTATCACTATCCATGTTTAAACTATACAGTATAATTCTGGCTAAAGTCCAGGATCTAAAACAAAGAGGAACTGAACTACGTAGACATGGTGTAAGATTAACTACTGTCTTTCATCATATTTAATGTTTTAGTGTGGATCAGCTACAATTCTGACATTTCACATTTAAAATATTTAGGATTTTGTTTAGGATATTAATTATTATAATTTTGTTTCAGGAATGAGTCAGAATAAAATCTAGCAGCTATAAAGTACATGACAACATGGCATTGAGTAAAGGTAAACAATATATTATAGTCATCTGTTACTTGTTTTTAAACTTTTTATTCTTGAATCTTTATAAAATATGTTTATCCTCCTTTCAAGGATTGACTGCATTGCAAAAGATATATTTCACTTAGGCCAATTTATGTACGAATTACTCTATAATAACATGCACTTTGTGCAAACAAACTACTCGTATATATGAAGAAATAAAGGAATGTAAATGTACCCAAAACTCAATTAGCCAAAAGAAAGTTCAATGTAAAACTAATAAATTAATAAGTTTTAGAATGAAACTAATTGTTCTAACAATGCTAGGTCCCTCATATTCAATACCATACAAAAAACTTACAATTACATTACTATTAAAAACAACACCAGAAGCACCCTCATAGTTACAAACGGTAGCACCAGAGAGTTGTTATAGTGACTGGAGATCCAACACTGTCCTCTAAACTGCGACCATAGCTTAAAGGCACAATAAACCCATTAAGAACAAACTAACCGCCAATTACGAAGGCTGTTTATGAGCGATAACAAGGCCTTTGATGTACTTTCGTACACACTGGCATCCACAGTGTAGCACCGTAGTGGGAGGTGAGGACATGCACGTCAAACCAAGAGTCTGGAGTTGCTCTAATAGTAAAACCCTGTGCAGTTCAAAGTTCATAGTTGAACCATTGTTCTTTGGATGCACTGTTGATTGCAATCTCGTGGTCTATATTTCAGCGAAAAAAGCAAAAGAATCCGAAAATTTTTCGTTTGTCCATACTCTAAGTATGCCTATCATTTATAATGTCTATAATTTCAGATGATTTGTAAGCAAGATTTAAACACTTTCCTAACGATGAAAACTGGTGTTATAGGTACGTCAACATAATGTTCGTACTCCTGGTACTCAAAGATAAGCTGTGTTCATGCATCGTATTAGGAAAAAAATCTGATTTTGAACTTGTTGGTTAGGCAGGTGGTGACGTCATTACATACCGTAAAATTTGTTAGGCCTATATTACATTTAATATCGTTGTTTCTCATAAATAAATGTATCTAGAAGAGATAGAAAAGCTGGAAGTGCGGAGCGTTTGCTAGGTGGGTAGTTTAAAATATAATTATAGGCCTAGTATTATTATGTCTCCTGATTCTTGTTTTTATTTAGTAGAGGCATTGGATTTTGTTTAAAAAATTGGTATTGTATCGTATCGGTGAACCTATGTTTCTACATGTTGGGATTCATGTCGAGTACCAACTACAGTAATAAAGTATTGAACAAACAAACATTCAACAACAGCAACAAGGACAACAGCAGCCATTTTTCGGAAATTCTATTTTTCGGTACTTTTACACAATTCGCATTGTGAAATAACTGAACACAAATGTTTAGTGTTAGTGCTGCAAATTGGATAAGCCGGAGCAAGCTTCATAGCTTATAAAGTAAGATTAGAAAATATGAGCCACTGAAACAAGCAACTCCCACCTTGTGAGATGAGAGATTGAACACGCTCACCCCAGGCTGGGCATATATTTTAGGCCTAGGCTACCTAGATACAAGACCTTACATTTCTATTTGAAAACACTTTTGTAAAGAAAAAGCACACAATTGTTAGGCTTATTTTCCATACACTTTGAATAAACAAATGAGCCTCTTCTGCTGGAAGATGCAGGCAAACTTGTGCGACCTTCAATGAGCTATCAACTGTGTGACGATCTCTGGTAGGATTATGTCATTATGAGAACTGAATGTGCAAAACAATTAGATTAACGGGCGTCCTAGGGGCCAGTCTGTAACATGGACAAAGAAGCCCAAGTTTGTTGGATCTACAGTTACTATATCAATTCCCTGGTAAACACCAATAAATATCAATTTATTGCAGAGGTTACTGATGAAAATTTCGGAAGTCTTAAGTTGGAAGTGTCAAAATGGTTTGACAAACGTAGATATGGAGTAAGCATGTTGAAAGTTTTGTACAGGGACCGTGTAAAAAATACTTCTGAACTTTATGGGTGTTCTAAAACAATGGACATCATTGAGTTACTGATTGGTGCTGGACATCTGACTCCAACCAATCTGACTATCCTCTATGAAACTATTAAGTTAACACAACAATTTGGTCTAGGACAGCTAATTAAAGATCGACATCCATCATTCCAAATACCAGAAGATATCAGGAATATTGCAATCGATAATTTTACACTTCATCGGCAAAGACTTGTAAATCTTGGAATGGCACTGTCTTTCTCTGAAATACAACACATCAGTGGACTGTATAGTGTTGCAGAGGAACATGCAGCAGACAGCTGGAGTTTGATTATGGATCTAGAACAAAGAATGAAGATTAGTGAAGGAGAGATGGAGTCATTCATTGAAAACATGAGGAAGATTAATTTCCCAAAGGCAGTAAAAGCTTTAACAGAAGGTATTATTAATTTAACGACTGATTAATACAATGATCCCAGGTGCCTTTAGTGTAAACATCACTAGCTTCTTCTTTAGTAAAGATTTTCTCAAAGCAAAAAGAAAAACATTGCTAATTCATTTTAGTCTGCATTGGTACTTCGGCTTAAGTCCATCACAGTAAGTTACCTACCAACACAACAACATTAACTGTGGGCTAAAACCTATCAACTAGTTGCAAAAAATCATTACCAATTGAAATGTCATAGGCAAGAAGAGGATTATAAATGCAATGAGTTCTTTTATTGCTAGCAATATAAGGAATTCAGCATAGGTGGTGATACTGTATGGTCCATTTTCTTAAAACGCGTAACTATTCTGGCAGCAGTATTCTGAATGCAAGTTAAGAGGTAGCTCGTATAATAATGAGTTACAATGATCGAGTTGTAAGAAGACAAATGAATGAATAAGTTGTTCAGATAAAGATACGGATAGAGATTAATTTTTATTGTCCAATAATTTGAAAATTACATTGCTCACTTGGTATACAATTATCTTCTTGAATACTTTAAATTAAACTCCCTTATCTCAGCTAGGTAAAATGAGAACTTGTAACGGTCCGTGTGCGCACCCATTGTCCAATTCACTGTTCAGTTGCATTGAATGGTAATCTCTTAGGAATAAATATTTTCATTCTTTAAACATGGCTGTCACAATCCACAGTTAGACAAGGCAGCCAATAGCAATACACACCAGACTGTCCAAATTATGTTTTTGATAATACCAAATATTCTTTTTCACAGTTGCAGATACAACACCAATCATGGATAAAGAGCGCACACATTCACCTACGGTAATTTATTTTTGTTTTACATTCTGACAGGATGTGTCAGTATAAATGAATTGATTACATTGTTATTATTATTATTATTACTTTTATTATGCCTATTTAAACTGACAGTTTATTACTGTGTCCGCCAGGAGATATCTGTTTTCAGTCGTGTAGGATTGTGTGTGTGTACCATTTTCGTGTTTTTTTTATTTGAATAATTTTAAAAATTGCTGCACATACAAAATTTAAAATAACAGGGAGTGTTAGGTATAACCCAATGAAGAAATTATTACAATTTGGTGACAGTCCGAAATAAGGGTGTGGATGTTAGAACCAATTAGAGAATTTTAGAGCAAATGTTCTGGACAAAATATTTTAAAAACTAATCAACTGATATGAATGACACTTTCGTGAAAGTTTAACCAAGTTTACAAGGAAGACATTACTAAGTGTTGGCGACAATCCAAATTTTAAGGTTCCAGAAAAACATGTCTTTAAGAATCCCTTTCCACAATATTGTTGTGTTTTGATGAAAAAATGTTTTAATCAACTGATCTGAATGAAACTTTAGTGAGAGTTTAACCAAGTTACAAGGAAGGAATTATGAAGTGTTGGTTTTATTGAAAGTGTTTAAATTTTGGTCACAATCCTAAGTAGGGTGTTGATGTGAGGACCATTTAAAAATACAAGTTTTCCGTATACCATAGACAGAAACAATAGCCATATGATGAATATTTAAATTAGTGCAATTACAGTAAAGGTGTACAGCACTTTATTACCCTGGGTTCCAGGCCCTAATTTTGAGTTACTCACTCTTTTTTGCACTTAGTGCATGCCATACCTAATTTCATTGACATCCCATACTCGATTTCTTTTCTTTAGGATTAGGGCCTGGGCAAACGATTCATGCATACGATTTCCCACAGCATGACTGATCACAATCACGTGATTGGCTTACTTCATACATGTTAATTAATCTTGTTAAATTTTCAAAATTGAAGATGCTGATGTCTCGACTAGGACAAGCTAACCAGGTCCCTTCTACCTACCTGCTTGAAACAGTTTAGTGTAGTCCTGGCCGTGATTTTTTTTTCCGTACGAAACATTTACATGAAACTCAACTCGGGCTGTCTCGGCTGAATCGACCTGAAAATCTCATTGCAGAATTAAGGAGGTCAAAAGGTCATCAACAGATAAACGTCTACAAAACAACTTCTGAGAGAACGTCGCTGTCAAATTTTTAAAAATACATTGATGTTACTATATGTTAATACCAATGGGTCGTTTAAAATGACATATAATATTTGATTAAGCTGCACGAGTAATGAAAAGTGTTATTTTAACTTGAGTTACATACTATGACAATTTTAATTTTTTAGTTAGGCCTTGGTTTTGCATAATTACCTAGGCCTACTAAGACGCTTTCTGGGAAAAGCACAAAGAGTAAGGAAAAGCGCGTTTTTCTTCATCATATGAAACAGGGTGACAGTTATTTTCAAATTAAGAGAAGAGCTGAGAATAGGCAGCTCTAAAATACTGGATGCCATAAGACCTGCCAAAATGGAAGAGCACCAAATGAATGTAAAAATTAATATTAGGCATAGTAATCAGCAGTTTCTTGATTACAAGGCTAGACCAAGTTAATTACATGTAATGCCGAAATGATTATTATTATTATTATTATTATTATTATTATTATTGTTATTATTATTATTGTTATTAATTATTATTACCTGTACGTTAAGGGGAACTTAGACAATGGAGGAATTAGAGAACAATTTTAAAAACGACATTAAGGGGAAGTACACAAAAGATATTCCCCTTGGGCTACTTATTATTTATAGGCCTAGTAAATAGTATCTGTAGATTCTTCATTGCAAGCCTTAGGCCAAGGTAATTAATGCTGAAATTATTATTATTATTATTATTATTACTATTATTATTATTATTATTATTATTATTATTATTAATTATTAATTATTATTACCTGTACCTTAAGGGGAACTTAGACAATGGAGGAATTAGAGAACAATTAAAAAAACGACGTTAAGTGAAAATAACACAAAAGATATTCCCTTGGGCGATTATTATTTATAGGCTTAGTAAATAGTACGGTATCTGTAGGTTCTTCATTACAAGGCTTAGGCCAAGGTAATTAATGCTGAAATGATTATTATTATTATTATTATTATTATTATTATTATTATTATTATTATTATTATTATTATTATTTAACATTAATTACATTACTATGATAGTTTGGACAAGTTCAATAACGCCGGAATGGTATATTATTTATTTAATAATATTTCTCTTATGCGCTCTATTTTTTATTTCATGCTTCAATTTTGTCCTATTTTTTCCCCAAAAAATTTCAGTCAATGTCAGTATGTTGGTGTCAGCCTATGACTATATGCCTAGTTTAAGGAGGGGCCTAGGTAAGATCTCAGCCTGTTAGGCCTCTTTCTCTCTAGCCTTTGGTATTACTGTACCTTACTACACTTTATAACAGGAGGTACTAGCTGTTGTTGTTGTAGATAATATACTAACATTTAATAACATCCAAGAAGGTCACAGTTAGTTACACACGTACATCCCATAAGTCCGTGAGATTTCATAGGCCTACCGTAGGTAAACATAGAAAGAGCAATACAGTAATAGTAAAACTCGAGCGTCACGACATTGCGAAGTGTCTGATCTTGTTCCTCGTATCGTACTCACTCGAGTCAATCCGAGATGGCCCAAGTGAAGTTTCATGTAAATGATTTGTACGGAAAAAAAATCGCGTCCTGGCCGGCTGAGAACGACTATAGAGTGAACGCGTAGTAGCTATACTTAAAGAACCTTACTCACCGCTATCTACTACACAGATTTAAGCCTTTAGAGATTGTTAAAAAAAGGTAGGCCTTTGTAAAGTAAGAACTAGTAGGCCACAGCCATCCTCCTGGAAGGTTAAAGTGTTGTTTTATTTGTAATGGTATGCCATCTAGTCTAAACTTCATTATTTTTGTCATTGCCAAATTAGTCGTACTACGGTCTATTATTTTAGGCCCGTTTTATTTGGGAGGACTATTTTTAGTCATGCCTAACTAGTCGACGCAAGTGACTCAGTTTTGTGGCTCTAAAAATATGAACATTTGATTGGTTGAAATTGTTTATTTCAGTTCGCCCATTTATCCAAATAGGAATATAAGATTACGTCATTCTTTTGGCATCCCAGTGCCTGCATTCAGTGATTTACAAGTCACTTATTCCGTCTCTAAATTAACTTTCTTGTTGGTGGCGCTGTCCAGAATGAGAAAAATAATAAATAATAAGAGACTTGTGGCATTTTATATCTACTAACTTTTTACCGGAACTGATTGGGATGATATTTAATGCATATTTAAATTTAAACATGCGACGCTAAAAACCAAAACAGCTATAAAAGTAAAACGTGTCAGTATGTTAAGCCAGAAGATGTAGGAATTGGCAGGTGTAAAACTGATACAATACTAAACTACAATGACTAAATGAAGTGATCATATCGATCATTTAAAGCAAAATGTCGCAGATCAGATATCTCAAAAACTAATTCATTTCTATGAGTATCTTTTCATTTGATGTTTCTGTTATTTTCTTATGATTTATGAATGAATGAATCTGCATTTTTAATAAGCTCTTTATATTATTTTAATTGTCATAAAAATTTAATACAGTATTACTCAATTTTTTAAATAACTATACTTGAATCAAGAAAAGAAGAAAATGTTATCATCCTGAAAGTGTGCTACATGAAATAATAAATAAATTTCTTTATAACCCACAGGGTTCTATCGATACAGTCACTAGTGATCATGATACATTAAAAGAGTCACTCAAGAAATTTAAAAATACTTTTAAAGCATTGGAGAAAGATGCGAATCAATGCAAAAAAAAATTACAGTATGATGTCTGGGCAGCTAATCAGGAAGCTGCAAAATTAGAACAACATAAAGATATGAGTTTGAGAAACATTGACAATCATATGCAAGAAATAGTCAAGAAAGTCAAGGAGAATGGAAAAAAACTGAAAAATGAAGTTGGAGCAATGTACGAAAAGAATAAAAATGTGTTAGACATTAAAATTATTGAACTGAATACTATAATATCTGATATAGATACAAAACTGAGTTTTCTCAATCAGTTATTAAAGGATGGTAAAGAAACAGCAATGCAGTCTAGTGAAACAGCAATTACATCACTGAAGGAAAGAATCAATGATTTGCCAAAATCTTTGCCAAATGATGGTAGACAAATTCATTTCTTCATAAACAAACAGCAAATGACTTTTTTGCAACAATGTGACATTGGGAATATAAAATATCTGAGGACAGCAGACTGCCTACAATTACAAGGGGTGGAATCTGTGATCCAAGATCAGACAATTGTAGTTAGAGTAATCAAAACAGAAGAATGCGAAATACATTCAAATCAACTGAAGGCAACCTGGACACATCCAACTGGAGAAACTAACATAACACAAGTTGAAGAAGATGACAATGGAGACTATATTTTGACTAAACAATGCACAACTCCAGGAGTTTGGAGATTAAATGTGTGTGCTGATGGTGAACCAATTAAACAGTCACCATTGATGTTTAATGTAGAAACAAAAGAATCAGCCAATGCTTATAAAGCATGCAAAAAGTATCATGTTAAAGATGTAGTTAAGTATGAAGATGATTGCTTTCTGGTTTCATGTGAGACAAATGAAATACTCAAATATAAGCAATCAGGAGAATATATTAGTAAGGTTACACTGCCATTAAGTGTGAAAGTTAACAAAATGTTCAAAATGAAGAATAGTAACATAGCATTCAGTGATCTGGGTAATAAATGCATCAAAATATGCAATATGGAAGGTCATGTGATTCAATCAATTGGTCAGGGAGAATTACGAGAGCCCAGTGTGATACATGTGGATGAGGCATCAAGTATTATGTATGTAGGAGATAGTATTACAGGTTGTTTGGGTGAGGCAACTGGTTATGTACTGATGTTCAACATTGTTAATGACAACATGATCAGGAAGTTCAATGGAGGTAAAATAAATGAAATCCTCGATATTTCACTCACAAGTCAAGGACATATTTTTTTAAAGGTGGAAATTAATGTAGGAAATGATGAATTAAAAGTATTAAACACAGACGGGACTTCTGTGAAATGTCTTAAAAGAGGTTCACAATTAAAACATAAAGTAAAAGTTGATGAGCATTACAAAATCATTCATAAATATCTCCCAATGGCAGATATACCAGTATTATTTGACAGAATAAAATGCTCCAGTTCTTAGTTAAAAAAATAAAATGTTAACAATTTGAAAGTATATTTGAGAAATAGCTTAACAGAGAGAAACAGCTGAAAAAAAGAAAACAAGAGAACAGAAGCTTCTTCACATTGTTGTAATATTTTGTAAATAGTAAACAACTTGACATAAAATATTTTTTTGGAATTTTGCAGCAACAAGTAACAATAATAATAATTGCAGTTGCTATTTTAATTTGTAAATTTTTAATAAAATGAGGCATGTTGTGGCGAAATGGTTAAGTTGTCGCACAGTCCAGTATTGAGTAAATGAGCTATAAAATATGGGAGCTCAAAAAATTGCCTAAAAATCCAAATTTTTTTTTCACTATAGATCAACAGTTTAATGTCTTATTAATCATGTAGCAAAGTATTAGTTCTGGAAGTGGCTAACAAATTGTTTATTTAACGTTATTTTTCATAGTTAATTCTATTAAACAATGTATGCACAAATAACTTTGAAAGGCAATTACTCAAAATGTTTATCCTGGTTCACGTCAAACTTTTATCTAAATATAGATCCACTTAACTAGTTAAAAGTTTGACGTGAACCACTCAATTATAGCTAGATAAAGGCTTAAGTCACTTACAGTTAAGTGACTTAACTTTACTAGAATAACGGTAAATTAACTTGCTTGATTACAAGGACACGATTACGTAACGTAGGCATCAGCCAGCGTTGTTGTGCTGTACAACCATTATCATCATCTGGCTGGCAACAACGTACTCCAACAATGCTAACAACAGCAGAATAGTAGTCTCATTAGTCTGGTTTTCAGAAATTATTTGTAATATTATGGGTAAAAAACCAACAAACGTCCTTTTTTTGCCCTTTGCATCATCAACCAAGTAGTAACGTCAAAAAGTCTGATTGCGTAAGTTTTCCAAAGTGATAATGTATATTATTCTTATTAATAAAATCAGATTTGTTGTATTTATTTATTTATTGACAATTCAATCTTTTCCATTTCCGCTATAATAGTCACTATTAATTCAGTTTCAACGAACTACCAACAACAACCAGTTGTTAAAAATAAGAGCACATGTTTACGATGACGAAATAAAAAAGTGTGTTGAAGTCAGCAACTAATTTGACACCGCGAAGCTAGATTTTCGCGAAGTGCATGTAAACAACACAATTGAGCGATCTAAAAACTACAAAACAGGACAGAAAGGTCCATAAAGTATACAGACGTAATATTTTGTTAAATGGAAGAATGCTAGCTAGCGATTAAAATAATTTGTTTTTTATCGAAGGTAAATGTAGCTAGGGCCTAGAGAATCTACTACTTAGATTGTGGTAGAACACGCTGCTGCACTGTCGGTTGGTTCATACTGGTTGGCTAGGTTAGGTAGTGGAAACTCACACCTTCTCTACAGTAGATTACAATTTTTTTAACGAATACCACTTGGTACTAGCGGTTCGTAAAATACAGTAGATGTTTTATTAAACAAGCCTTTCCACCATGTGACGTCGACGGCCTGAAACTGGCTGGCTGTTTATCTGGCTCTAACTTGGCATCGAACGCAATTAGGGGATTATCGTATCATGTTTCAAGACGGGTATATCTAGATAAAGTTCGACGTGAACCACGCTTAAGAGTACTGTACCTTCACTCTCCAATAACTTAGGCTTAAAATGTCCAATTTGAATGAATGACCTCTCATTTTAAAGATCACATACTCAGGTATCTGAAAATACCAATAACTTGAATTTCAATTTTTGCTACAACTTAGCCATTTTGCCACAACATGCCTCAAATGTGTAACTCAAATTGCTGTAGTTCGTAATTTCGAAAATTATATATATCCATATATTTGTATTTTACGTAAAGATTTAGTGCAAAAAACAACTAATTTCTGGTATTTTTTATATTGGACAAAATAAAATCTGTTATATCAGTGCATTCATTCAGTTATGATAGCTAATTAATCTCATTTTTTATCCTTTAAATGTCTATCTAATGTGATAAATTATTATCTTATTCTTTTATTTTTTTTTCAAATTCTTTTTTAGAGTAAAGAGGTTCCAATATGACTGATTATTTGGACAACTTATATTTTTTCATAAAATAACTATATAATTCAATACATATTTATTTTTATCTTTGAAATATAACTATATTTAAAGTAATTTTTCTGACAAAATTTTGATTGATATTTAATTGATTGATTTTTAATTGATTTTTTTGCTTTAAAATAATCTTTTCTAGACGCTTAAATTTTTTCATCTCTTAATTTTATCAATTATTATTTTGTGTGCGAAATCTGTGTGTTTTTGTGTGTTTTTTATTATTATTTTAATTGTCTTGGCCTTTCACTTTTTGCATTTTGAAACTTTATATATTTGGCCAACATAAAATATGAAGTGCTTGTTTTTGCACTCGTTCAACAGCATTACCTTGTGAATTTGTTAAGCCATAGGACCACACAGGTGTGCCAAACTCAAGAACCGGATGAATATACATAGTGTAATTAATTTAAGATCATTACTGGAATCTCCTAAGCTTACTTAGAATAAACAGTGATATTGTACATAAATTATTCATTGATAATTCATATTTTTAATTGTATAATAGTACTATCTTTTTATTTCTGTATAACTTTTGTGACTGTGATTTTTGAAAATTTAATGTTTTCACATGAGGGCATCCATGTTCGTCAGCATACCGCTGTTTTGTGTCACCATCTGTAAATAAAATTGAATAAAAATATAAAATTCATTGCTGTGGCAACAAAAAATTGAAAAAGTGTACCTGGTGAGACACCACAATTTCACTGTCAATGTGAGTGTCATACCACATGAGCACTGGGGTCGCTGTAAAATAATTAACATAAAAATATTCTACAATAGCCAACACCACCTAGCTTTATATACGTATACATTGTATACAGTTTTTAACACAGTCAATCTTTCTTCAAAATCAAAGTCAGATTTAGCTGGTTTAGAACACTCTAAAGCCAACAAAATATTGGCTCTCCTCACAAAGGCCCCTACGAATGGATGCCTTGTTACAAAGCAGGAAACCTTGTCCATATCTTGTATTGATATTAAAATCAACCTTTTTCTGCATGACTGATTTATTGACTTTTGTTATCCATGCATGTATAATAAGCCTACAAACACTATACCAGGTCACATCACTAAAAATAAAATTAGAAAAAACCCAGAAATTTCAACTTCTCAGCTTATAAACTGAAGAAATCTGAATGTAAGTATTTGTAAATGCTATATATAGATGAATTTTATTCAGAAATATTTGTGTATAAGTACAGAATTGTTATGAGTCTCGGGAACTAATAATACTGTAGTGAGAAGAGAAAACTGAATATTTTTTACTTGAATTGAGATCCAGTACACATTAGTACTCTGATAGATAAACAATATATTAATGCACAAAAGTGGCTCATCTAGGAGCACCGACAAAAAGAAGTGGATGCGCCGGTTTAGGGGGAGGGGGAAGGACTTGATAATTAAGTGAGGGGATTTAGCTGGCAAACTAAGGTTAAATGAGGTGACCTTGAAAAAACTACTTAATAAATTAAATTTAAACAACATCTAGTTGGGGATGCTGGAAAATGGGTGTTTGTTTTTTGGGTAGGGGGAGGGTGCATGCCAAGTCCTCCCCTTCACAGATATGCCACTATGAAAGAACCATAATCCTGTTTACACACATCTCTATTTGTGCCTGCACTATATACAACCAGTTCTTCATACCAAATATATCAGGAGTGACTTGAAATATTCAAGATTTCATCACTTTAAAAATTTGTCACACCCTTAAGACCGTAAAGATAAACATTCATAGGAAAACACATTAAAAAGTATTCTTTAACTTGTAAATTCTTTTTACACTTTAGAATTGTTACAATTTTCTTTCAGAAATGTGAGTAGAAAAATAAAAAAGGAAAATAATGAACATTGATAAAGCAGTGTATTTCTGACAATATGGCAGTAAGTAAAGGTAAACAAAAACCATTTCAGTTACAGTATATCTTTTACAAAAAAATTCATTAGTTATTTTTTTGAACTATATTTCTTACAGCATGTTTGATAAAATAATTATGAGTCCTTCATCCTGAGTGTCATGAAAAAGGGTATTGGCCTCAGCCAATGCATTCATATCAACACACATTTACTGCACACAAATATGAAGATAAAAAATGTAAAAAAAACAACAAAAAAACTATGGAAATTCCTCAGAGTCACCCTCAGTTTCACACTGTAACATCTTTGTCAGAAAATGTTCAAAATCTCAGTTTCCATGTGTCCATATAAAGTAAAAAAATAATATCTACTACTTTTTGATTTATTGCATTGTAGAATTTGCTGATGCTGATTTCGGAGGTCTTAAGTTGGATGTGTCAAAATGGTTTGACAGATGTAGATACGGTGTAAGCATGTTGAAAGTATTATATAATGACCATGTAAAAAACAATTATGCATTACATGAGTGTTCTAAAACAATGGACATCATTGAGTTGCTAATTGGTGCTGGACATCTGACGCCAGATAATCTCACTCTCCTCTATGAAACTATTAAGGTAACACAACAATTTGGTCTGAAACAGTTAATTAAAGATCGACATCCATCATTCCTAATACCAAAAGATATCAAGAATATTGTAATCACAGAATTTACAATGCATCGGCAAAGACTTGTAAATCTGGGAATGGCATTGACTCCAGAAGAAATACAACATATCAGTGGACTGTATAATGTTGCAGAGGAACATGCAGCAGATAGCTGGCGTTTGATTATAGATCTAGAACAGAGACTGATAATTTGTGAAGAAGAGATGGAGGAATTCATTAAAAACTTGAAAAAACATGACCTTCCAAAGGCAGTAAAAGCTCTAACAGAAGGTATTATATATAAATATTACAGTTTAAATATTATATTCATTAAGCAACTGTAGAAGTCTTAAGTGTAAGCAGCTGACCAAATTTCTTACGGCAAAACTTTTTTTGAAACTTACATAGGCGAATTCAGGGGGGGGGGGGCGGCTGNNNNGCTTGGGGCCCCCTAAGTCTTTTAAAAATTGGAGGAAATATAAAATTATATTCGAACTTAAAGTATGAGAGTACCATTTCCAGCCATCTAGAGGCGCCATAATCATAAATTTTCTCACCTCAGCCGAAACCATGGTGAGCTGAGGTGGTATAGACCCTTCATCTGTCAAACTCCCTCCCTGGGCCCCCACTACTTCAAATGCCTGAATTCGCCACTGCCTTGTTTAGTGAACCTACCTACTGCAAGTATATTGATGATTTCGAATAAAAATAAAAATTTATTTTTGGCCAATTAGCACACCCACCATTACTAAACAGTGGAAATTTCAGAAAAAAATAAAACATTAAAAAAATTTTTAATACGCCCTCCGCTGCCTTGAAATCTTCAAAGATATGTATATTTCTTCCTAATTATGTAAATTTGAAGCATTTAACCATTCTATTTCATATTCAACAATACAATTAAATTTTTATTTTCTCCTCTGCCTCTGCATATTTTTGGCAAAACTATTTGGGAATATTGGCGTGTTCCATTTTCTGAACTAAGGAAAATATGGTAGTGCACTTGCTGTATCAAAGACTTGTTAAAATTCATTAAATGAATAAGCTTGATAGTGGACATATCTTATTTCTACAGTGTTAAAATAAATTGGGGATGTATTTTTAATAGCGTTTCACTATGACTGATTGTCATAGTGCATCTTTATACTCTTTTTGAATAATGAAATCGCCCAAACACTGCAATGTGCAGCGCCATCAATGTGTTCATTTTCATCTCTTTTACACGCTCGCAGTATACAAAAAAGTTTTGTTACATGGTCAAAAACTTCCCAAACAAATTATAAAAACCCAACAGGATTACTAAATAACACCAAAAACAACTCCCTGTTGAACAGTTCTCTGAATTAAAAAAAAACAAAAAAAAAAACAGTTTATGTTGACAGTAAGAATATATATGAAATATTTTTTTTATAAATTTTATCCACAGACACTTCAAATGCATCTTCCAACACTAGAGAACCAAGCGGTGAAGGTACAATTTCTTACTGAATATTTGTTTTAATTTTTACAGAAGTTAGAACTATTTTATTATACAGTAAACGGCAATGGAAAAGTTTGGTTTAAATAATTATAACAATAAAAACAATGATTGTTAATACTTCAACTACAGACACTTCAAAAAGCATCTCTGGAGCCTAAACCTGGAACTTTCTATGTTATCCCTACTGAAACGCATTGCCAAAAAAACCCTGAATCTGCACATCAATATGTCACTAAATTGACTTTACTTGCAACTAATGCAATCCCTCTGTCCAATTACCTCAAAGTTGGCAAATGTATGGTGTTGATCTGTTGAAGTTGCCAACTAAATGCTATTCAGATTCAGAGACACTCCTGACCACAGGAAATCCCAGTAGAAGCACCCTCAGTTGCACTGTTACAACAGTATATTCATAATTTCACAGTCACCATATAAAGGGTATATTTTCAAACTTGTAGTTTCCATACTTTGATGTTCACACATTTTTTTTTTTACTAAAATTGTAGAAGTCACTGATGCAAATTTTCGAGGTCTTAAGTTGGATATTTCAAAATGGTATGACAGATGTATATGCGGTGTCAGCATGTTGAAAGTATTGTACAGAGATCAAGTAAAAAATAACTATTCATTACATAGGTGTTCTAAAACAATGGACATCATTGAGTTACTGACTGGTGCTAGACATCTTACTCAAATTAATCTTACTCTCCTCTATGAAACTATTACATTAACGCAACAATTTGGTCTGGAAGATTTAATAAAAAATCGGTATCCTGCATTCCAAATTCCCAAGGATATCAGAAATATTGCAATCACAAAATTCACACTGCATCGGCAAAGACTTGTAAATCTGGGAATGGAACTGATTCCAAATGAAATACAACAGATTAGTGGACTGTATAGTGTTGTAAAGGAACTTGCAACAGACAGCTGGAGTTTGATTATGGATCTAGAAAACAGATTGATAATTAGTGAAGGAGAGATGGAGGCACTCATTAAAAACTTGAAGAAAAATGATCTCCCAAGAGCAGTAAAAGCTCTAACACAAGGTAGGTATTACAAAACATATTGTATTTATAAAAAATAAAAAAAATAAAAAAATTGCTGTCTTCGGTGTTAAAAGTACAATTCTGCAATGGCAAAGTTTAGTCTAAATAATTCAAAGAAAATTATTAAAGTTTCATCTGCAAACATTTCAAAAGCAACTTTGGAGAGAACTTTCTATACCATCCCTTCTGAAACACATTGCCAAAACAAACTTGAATCTGCTGCACATCAATATGTCAATAAATTGACTCCACTTGCAACTAACCATTACATAAAAGTTGGTGAATGTATGATATTGATCTGTTTGAGTTGTTGACTAAATGCAATTTACCTTTAGAGATACCTCTGACACATCTTTACACCCTATGGTTTGGCCTAATCAAATCTCTCAACACCATCAGAACTTATAGAGAAACAGTCTGTCACAATCTGGAAAAACATTAATTTTCACAAGGAGTACATGGAACAGCTTAAGGTTTATACCAATACACACTTGACTATAAATGAAGTTGATTTTATACTTTTTTTTTACATTAACATTTGCAGATATGACACTAACAATTAAAGAGCACACAAGTAAAGCCAAACCTTTGGTAAGTAATTATTACAATCTCATATGTTTTCTAAATAATTACTTTCTAATCAAACTTTTTCCAGCATTAGATTTCAAGATCTCATATGCCATTTTATATGCCCTCTAGAAAAAAAGTAAAAACTAGATAGGAGAAAAGAAGTGGCAATGGGTTTATAAGAATGAAAAAAAGGGAATAGAGGGAATGAGGACAGAAAGAGAGATAGAAGAATTATGGATAGGATTGACATAGATAAATTGGGAGAGAAAAGAGATTAAACAGAGCAAAAGAAAAAAGAAAAGAGATGGAGAAAAAGATTGGAGAGGAAGCAAATAGAATAATAATAATAATAATAATAATACACATTTTTAAAGCGCCTATTAAAGCAAACAAAACTGGCTTAGATAGTTAGAAAGGTGAACTGCTCCCTGTTAGAATTTTTTTTAAATCTTGTGTAGATCAGGCTAATCTGTGTCAACAACAAAAACAATTGAGACTAAGTGCTCTAAATATTTAGAGTTTATCTATGTTGTTTCTTTACAGTATAATTGCCAAATAAAATTTATCATTATTTTAAAAGTGATATAATTATCACTTTAACTGTGTAATTCAATGCAATCAAGTGAAAAAGTGAATTACTGCACTGATGGACAGAATTATTAAATTGGCAAAAACTGAGCCAAAATGTAATGAACAATTTTATTTATTTAAAACCAACAGAAACTTACTTCTCTGAAACAACGCAATACTAGAAAAGTTACGACACAGTCCAAGGCAGCAGGATCTTACAAAATTGTGAGAGTTGACAGCAAACCAATCAAGCAGTCACCAATGATAGCCAAAGCACCTGTACAAAACAACAAATTAGTAAATACCATTATACTGAATGAAAGAGTTACTGATGTAATTGCATGTGAAGATGATTGCTTACTGGTTTCACAGCTAAATGGAATAGTAAAGTACAAGCAATCAGGAGAATATATGGGTAGGGTTATACAAAATGCAAAAGTGAAGAGGATGTTCAGACTAAAGAATGGTAACATAGTATTCAGTGACTTTGGTGATAAAAGCATCAAAGTATGCAATATGAATGATCTTGTGATCAAATCAATTGGTAAGGGAACATTTAAGTTTCCTGCTGGCATTCATGTGGATGAGACATCAAATATTTTGTATGTAGCAGATTGGAATTATGGTCGTGTGGTCATGTTTGACATTGTTAGTGGAAGAATGACCAGATGTATGGGGTCAGTAAACATCAAAGAAGACCAAATGAAAGGAGTTGCTGATGTCGCCCTTACAAATCAAGGCCAGCTTCTTGTATTGGAGTATCTAAACAACCGATTAAAACTGTATGAACCTGAGGGAAAGTTCATAAAAGTCCTTGTTGAAGCCGGTAATGAAAATGGTAAGCTGATAAAACCATATGGAGTAGTAGTTGATCAAGATGACAACATTATTATAACAAGTGAACACAAACTACAGCTTTTCAGTAGTGATGGAAATTTCATTAAAAGAATTGATAAACCGGAAGATGGAATCAACAATCCACGTGGACTATCAATTATTTCATATAATCCACACAGAGTTGTAGTAGCCAATGATGTTGGAATTATTAAAATATTTAATTATTAACTAAATTGATAGTTGTTTATTAAAAATTTTAATATATTATAATCAGTGGTGGATCCAAACATTTGCTAATAGGGGGTCGCTGGTGCTACGTGGTTATAATACATAATTTGCACATTATGAAGACCATTGTTAAAACTATCATTATATTCATTAAGATGTAATAAGGCATATGATCTGAGCTGGCATTTAATGATGTTGGCAATAGCATTCAATAATAAAGTTCTGTCCAGGCTACCAAATTTTAAATGACAAACAACTGTTGTATGTCCATATATAGTCATTTAATTCTGATCTTGCACAGCTGCCTCTATGTGCTTTACAGTTAGAAGAAAGTACAAGAAATTTGAATTTGGATTGATTTGGTGTAAACACTAAGGATAGCCCACGAAAGTCTAGAAGAAGACTTATTTCCAGTGGGGTGTTCTGGTGGTGATTGGGCAGTACACCGGGAGACAGTCCCCTACTCTTTTCCGAAGAGTGTACTGCGTTCTTTAACGTGCACATGGGCCATAAATGCACACGGGACCAACGGAAACATCTCATCCGAAAGACGGTGCGCTATCGTAACTTGTATTTCAGCCCTCTACCTGAAATGCAAGGAGAGGTATCGATGGGAATTGAACCGGGGACCTAGAGATCTCCACGGTTCAGCGCACACACAGTGGCTACCACCACATTAGCTGACTGAGCTATATTGTATTATTGAGAACTTGTTATATAAAATAATATTTGCAACTAGGTGTAAAATTTATTTGAAATTTGGGTGTGTAAAATAATTTTTAAAACTTAAGGTTGAAAAATAATATTTGTTAATTTGTCAATAATATTTGTTAATTATCTCTGGAAAAACAACAATTATAAAAGTTCATAATTATAAAGTATCACCTGTTATAAAAAATGTGTGATTTCAATAATTCCAAAACAAAAATAATTATTGTTAAATATAAATAACTGTGATAAGTTTCCAACTAGCAATAATGTAACAAGAGGCAGAGGATATCATAGCCAGTGAGGTTTATCAAAGGTATGATTATTGCTAGTTAAAAACTTATCCCAGATAATAATTGTAGTTTTTATCATGAAAATATTGTTCAAAATTCACAATTGTGTAAATTAATAATTAAGGACGATAAGTAGATGGTTACAAATACTTTTTCTACCCAGCTGGATATGAGAGTACAATCTGAAGTACTTCAGATAAATTAACTTTTGTTCTGACAGTCATGAGCAATTTTGTTTCCAATTTTTGGACATTAAAGACATTTGTATCTTGTATGATGTTCTCCAATTTATTAGCATTTATATTATATACCATTTAAAACAGTTTCTATAATATTTTGTATTTTGTAATAAAGATAAAAATATATGTACTACATTTGTTTTTGTTGTTGGTTATTATTATCAAGGTATGCCTAAAATTTAATTCCTGCCAGAATGTGAGCTTTTATAAATATAGCCTGTATATACTGTAGTAATTAAATAATAATACTATTAAGGGATTTATACCATGCCCTTTGTTAAGATAATACATGCCATATTATCCTACCAGTGGTGCACCTGGGGTCTTGAGGGCTTTGAGGCAAGTTTTCTCTTGTCAGTGAGTGATGGGAGAAAAAAATACAAGTATTTTTTACACTTTATAGTAGACTCAAAATTTGTTTAAATAAGCATTTGAACCCCTATATCATTGTTTCCAGTAGCTTCACCCCCTCGAGCATATCTGACAGATTTTGAGCAACATTCAGCCATGGCCACTTTTGCTATTACACTTATCTTCCCTTACTCCCATAAATGCACGAGTCTCACCCATGAGCATCCACTTTTTGCGCCTCACGCCTACGTTGTATTATCTCACACACCCAGATTTAGCTTTTTGAAGGTATTATATATATTATAGTGCATAAATATATTGTATATAATTTGTTACATCTTTTACAATTAATTTTTAGGTGTATAATTATCTGTTTAATTGTCTTGTATTTTACTGTTTCTAAAGAAGGCCCCTGAATATCAGCTGACCTTGACTTAGTTAGAAGGGTCACCCTCTACAACAATGTATAGCTCACAGCTTCGTTGTCTGATGAAAATCCACTTATAGTATAACGAAAAGTAGCAGCACGTATAGATTTTTTCAATACTAGGGGAAAGCAAAACTTTTTGTGGCAATGAAAAATTCTAATCTTCCTTTTTCAGTCTGAAAACTATTCTCATCACTACGATGATCTTATATGTTAATGCAAGTCTTATATTTTACAACAAACCTAAATTTTACCAATGGACAAACTTACCATTAATTGAAATTCCAAGCTTCTCTGCCACTTTTTCAATTTAAACCATTCTTGTCCATATGATGATCTCAAACCAATGTTGTAAGTCTTATATTTAGCAACCTACAGAGACAACATGTAACAGAATATTATATATTCAGCATGAATATCTGACATGTACTTCCCAAAGCATAAAAGTAATACATAGCACTTTATATTATATCTCGCATCTGTCTTCATGTTTCTCTCCACCCAATAGCAGTAGGTTCCTGGCAGTGGCGGCACCAGCGGGGTGGCAGGGGGGGGCTTAAGACCCCGAACGGACATGTCAAGGCCCCCACCCCCACCGGACAGAGCTCGTTGGGCAGTCAGACCATAAAACATACAAAAATAGGCCCACAACAAGCCAACACATGTCTGTCACAGTCTGAGAGTGCCATTTTCGGCCATCTAGAGGTTGATATTCTTTAAAAAAAATCTTAATTGGGAGGGGGAACCCTCCCAACCCCTTCTTCCAGCTCGAGCCTACAAGCTCAAGTCCCCCTTTCGGACAACTTAGCCCCCCCCCCCCTCCAAAATATATCCTAGAGCCGCCACTGGTTCCTGGTAGGATTGAATTACATAGAATCTAGATTTCAAAGAGCAAAGGTGTTTTGTTTCGTTGCATTACTTCAAGTCTGTATTTTCTTCAGAATTGTAAGTACAGCAGATTAATACAAAAATGTTCTTAAATGATACTATTAAAACATTTGTATTTAGGCCTATCTGATGTATCAAATTGAATACTATGCAGGGTAGATACTGTGTATGTTTAAATACTATGCCAGAGTAGATACTGTTTATGTTACCTTACATATTATGCATGAATTTAATCATAAAATGCATACACTTAAATAACATTTGACTATTTGTGTTTACTCTTAATGATCCATATATTTATTTTAGACTTGATGATGAAGATTATTTGCATGTTTCAACAACTAAGTTTAAATAATTTGACGAAATTTGACTCTCTCTGGAAAAATGTTAATTTTAAAAGCGCTCGGGTTATCTAAACTTGTTTACAATGCAAGCATTATAGAAACCCCCGAGAGCGTCGTAAAACAGGTTGATAAAATTGTTTTTGAGTTTTTGTGGGACTATAAATTGGAAAAAATAAAAAGGTTAACCCTAATTAATGATTATCATTGAGGCGGTTTAAGAGCTCCTGATTTTATATCACAAGTTAAGTCACTAAGAATGGCTTGGCTTAAACGCTTGTATGATGGCGAAACATCAAAATGGAAGTTTTTGCCAAGATTATATTTGAACAGATTTGCTCCAGAGGGCGTTTTTGAAAACATGTCCCATGTATGCTATAAAGGGATATCCATCGACGGAATTCCTAGGTTTTATCTCTCAATGATAAACACATTAACATATCATAACCAATGTATTGTTAAGCACCAACTGGGTTATAATGAAATATTGAAACAACAAATTTGGGGTAACAAAATGATATTATATAATGGTGTTTCACTTTTATATAGAAATTGGGTTAGAGCGGGCATACGAACGATAAATCATATAGTTATTGATAACAGATTTATTAATGCAGATGAATTATTTACTATATTAGATGTCAGATCTAATTTGATTGCGGAACTATCTCTCTTGCTAAAAGCAATCCCGCAAGATTGGAAAGAGAAAATTCTCTTAGGAAAAATAGAAAAGAAGTCTAAAGTAATATTGCCAATACAATGGTGTAATATAAGTACCAAACAAATATATTGGTAGTTTATTATGAATAGGGGAATTGAACGCACAAAGTGTCAAATGAAATGGCATTCTTATTTTAATACTGAAATCGACTGGGTGTCGACATGGACATGGAAGGTGAAGGGGATTAGAGAAAATAAACTTAAACAGATCAATTTTAAGCTATTACATAACATTGTTCCCACCAAGAAAAGATTATACCTATGGAAAATTGTGAATTCTGATAAATGCCAACGATGTAAGAATGTTGTTCAAGATGAGGCACATCTCTTTTATGAGTGTGTAGAAGCAAAGGAATTATGGAAATATATTAATAGTTTTATTTAAAAAAAAAAAAACGGTATCAAAGCAGACTTTAAAAACATTGTACTTGGAACGGGAAATGTTTATGTAGATCATATATTTTCATTAGGAGTATTCTGTATATTTAAAGCAAACGTCTTAAAAAACGTTAACAAATGGAATCGTAGCTCAATGCAAAGGCTTTTTATAACTGAATATAATATTAGAAAGTATCTAAAATGTCTTGCATAATATATTTTTTTTGCAAGCCATTTTAGATTTTCTTCTTTCATTTATTTTACTTTTCTTCTTTTTGAATGTGTAACAATAGTGAGTGTGCTGTAATGTATCATGCGTTCATTAACACCGTGACTGTGTTCACTGTATATAGTTTTTAATAAATATATAAATTTAAAAAAAAATCTTCTTGTATATTAAGGAGAAAAAGAGAGGGAATTAAAAAAAAATATGAAAACCACGAAAAAGGAGGATAATGAAAGGATAACCCACAACTAAATCAATGTATAAAATCAATATTTTTAGTACCATCAATTGTAAATGTATGAACTGTGCTTTATAATGATATTGATGAATAAATGTGGCCTGTTGCCACAAAAGAGAAAAAAAAAAAAGTTTAAATAGCCACGATGAAATTGTGTAGTGACTGATCCAGGTATTGCTTGTTCATCATCATTATTGCTATGACGTTAATCTTCATGATTAATGATTAATATTGCATATGTATAATTATGTGCTATTTTTCCATGATTCATATACGAAATGAGACTAATTCGTGAACTGTTTAATGGCCAATGTTTTGCCGGTGTAGTTTCACCGGGTTGTTTACATATTGGTGTTTATAAAGTGAAGTGTTTTGTCAATATGATTAACTTATACTTGCAGAGTAGTTTCACTGAATTGTTAACTGATTGACGTTTACTATAGTTATGTTTTGTCAATACAATATGCAATTATATTATGCAGTTAAATATTGAGTGTTATGGTCGTGCGATACAAAATAATATTCCTGTATATGCATTTATATGCATAAAATTCAAATAAGGATTTTAAAATTTGGTTTAGTTTTTAATTTTGTTAATTAAGTTTATTTTAAATTAGTTTTACTTTTTTTTTTTATGTTTCTCTTTTGCCTTTACTGTATATATTGATGATGGAGCAAGTTACTGTTTGGGCTCGTGCTTATTCCTTGCTCCTGGCAAGATTGTACTCTTACTTTGCCAAATAAATATTATTATTATTATTATAATATATCTTTGCAGGGCTGTTTTCTTTGCTGTTTTCTTTGATGTTGTCTTTGCTGTTTTCCTTTGCTGTTTAAGTGCCATTCCTTAATAAAATTTGAAAGGAAAGTAATCAAGTAGTCGTTGTGCTTCATCATTTTGTCTAATACCAATTTGGGGTTCAAGACTTATACTGGGAGTGCTGGGGGACGACCACAAATTGTTAATATATGGAAGCACTGAAAGGAAAATAAATCTTTCAAAACCTTGTTGTCTGTCTATACGTACAGGTAAATGCCAGGATCTGAAAAAATGGATAGAGAAAAGAGTACTGAAGGAGGAGTAGGACAGGAAAAGGTAAAGAGAAATATAAGAAAAAGGAAAGAACAGAGGACAGAATAAGAAAGGGAAGAAAATTACTGAGAATATGAAAATAAAAAAAGAGCTTGGTGTATAAACCTGACTTTGATCAATATTATTATATATGACTAATGAACTTTGCAACAGTTCAATGTTGCATATCTCATTTCATAAATTCACAGTTCATTGCACACGAATCTATTCTAGGTCATAGGACTAAAGATAAACCTGGAAAAACCCACTTCTGTTGTCAGAGACACTTTATACTGCACCTTTGGTTAAAGACAGCATTTTAAGGTAAATATCTCATTAATTTAACATGTCAAAAGAAATAAATAATAATATTTGTCTGTGGATATGAATTTTTAGAAGACAGAAATATACTATAGAACACATAGCTGTGTATAGGCCTAGATCTAAAGTCATATTTTAGTTAACATTCGTAGGTATGTCCCTGCAGGCCATAAAATCCCCAATTATATTTAGAAACGTGGCAAAAAAAATTAACACAACTTAAAATTTTCACCTTTAGAGAAAAAATAGAGTTTGCATGTTTGCAACTTGGCAATAAATTGTTGTAACATTTTGATATCTACAGACATTGTACAATTTTAATTACAACTCTCTGTTTATTGCAAAGTTATAGCAATATTTGCAGATATGTTGTTTTGCCTTGGTAAAAACATATCAGGCTCTGTATTGTTTTAAGTGTGACATATTTTTTGTTTTATCATGTTTGGGGCAATCCCATGCATTATCTAGCTTGTTCATACGTAGCTGTTATTGATTATTCATTGAAACACAATTAACCAGTTGATTTTGCCTTGCCAAACTATATCAGCTTAAAACAATTTTTAAATCTTATTCCAAGGCAAAGGAATGTAACTACATCGTAGAAAAAGAATTTTCCCATAGGCAGAAAATATAATCCTCACTGATTTTTCTATTAAAATTATTATATAATATTTGAACAAATGCTGTGTATATAATATTTAAATTTAAAAAACCCACTCCATGGTGTCATACCACCACCAACACTAAGCATCACCTAATGTACCTCCGTCACCACCAATGCTACCACCACCTTTACCAGAGGTCAGAACCATCATCATACACATGATTTATAATTTACAGGAATTTATTTCAAGATGGCAACCAGTGAGCCGAATCAGTTTCTGGAAAATGTTGATGAGAAGGTCCTAGAGTGCACCATATGCTTTAAGAGACTTCAAAATCCTAAATCTCTCAACTGCCTCCATAGTTTCTGTTTAGCGTGCCTAGAAGACTGGGTTAAGGAGAAGGGTAAGCTGACTTGTCCAACTTGTTCAAAATCATATCCCATTCCAAAGGGCGGGCTTCAAAAGCTTCCACCCAATACATTTATAAATAACTTATTAGAAACTATTGAAACATTTTCTGGAAAAGATCAGATAAGATGTGCTTGTAAAAAAGGAGAAGCAGCATTACATTACTGCCAGGATTGCAGACAGTGCTTGTGTTCTACTTGTATTAAATATCATAAAGTTTTTCGACTATTTGCAAACCACAAGCTACATTCAGTGGAGGATGTGCGATCAATGACCCCTTCACAGATGACTTTACTACATCCACCACAGTGTTTGCATCATAACAAACCTTTGGAATTTTATTGCACAGATTGTAAAACTCCAATATGCATGCATTGTATAATTATTGACCACAAGGAGTTGGAAGGAAATCACAAAATAATCAGCATTTCTAAAGCTTTTCAAGCATTTAAAGAAACTTCAGCAGAATTGGAGAAAGCTGCCAATGACTGCAAAAACAAATTACAAGATGGCCTCAAAGCAGTAACTCAGATAGCTATAAAATTAGGACAAAATAAAGCTACAACTTTGAGAAATATTGACAATCATGTACAGCTGATGATAAAGAAAATCAAAGAAAATGGAGACAAAATTAAAAATGAAGTAGAGATAATATACAAAAAGAAAAAGAAGGTAAATGATGTACAAATGGATGAATTGGAAAAAACAATAAATGATATAACAACAGAACTGACTTTTCTCAATCAATTACTGAAGAGTGATGAAGCAACAGCAATGCAGTCAAGTGAAAGAGTAATTACAGCACTGAATGACAGAATCAATGAATTGCCAAAAACAAAGCCAGCTGATGATGGACAAATTAAATTTGTTATCAATGAGAATCAGCTCGATTCATTGCAACAATGTGATATTGGGTATGTATCACAGGGAGCAGCAGATTGCCTAACACTGAAGGGAGGGAAATCTGTGACCAAAGGTCAGACAATTGTTGTCAAAATAATAAAAACAGATGAATGTGAAATAAATGCAAATCAACTGAAGGCAACTTGGACACAGCCTACAGGAGAAATCAATGTCACTCAAGTTCAGGAAGATGACAATGGAGATTATTTTGTGACAGGAAAATGCACTAGTACAGGTGTTTGTAAATTAGATGTGAGCAACAATGGCGAACCAATCAAGCAGTCACCAGTGACAGTGGAAGTAGAGAAGGAAGGACTAGTAAAAACTATTGATATAGACAAAGAAGATGTTAGAGATGTAGTTAAGTGTGAAAATGATTGCTTGCTGGTTTCATGCTTGACAAATGAAATGCTCAAATACAAGCAATCAGGAGAATTTACTGGTAAGGTTACACTGCCAGCAGGTTTGAAGGTTAACAGAATGTACAAAATGAAGAATGGTAACATAGCATTTAGTGATTTTCGTAAGAATACCATCAACGTATGTAATATGAATGGTCAGGTGATCAAATCAATTGGTCAGAAAGAATTAAATCCAATTGATATCCATGTGGATGAGGCATCGAATGTCCTATATGCAGGAGACTGGAATTCAGACTATGTCTACATGTTTGACTTTGATAATGACAAAGTGAACAAGCAGATAGGGTCAAAAAGCAAACACAGTGAAATAAGTAGAGCGCTTGGTATAACTCTTACAAATCAAGGACATCGCCTCATATTGTATAATAAAAATCAAGGACTACAATTATTTGATAAAGAGGGAAGGTTTATGAAAGTCCTTGTTGAATCAGGAAATGAAGATGGTAAGGTGATGAATCCAAAAGGAGTAGTAGTTGATGAGGATGACGACATCATTATATCAAGTAATCACAAACTACAGCTATTCAGTAGTGATGGATCTTTCATTAAAAGAATTGATAAACCAGAAGATGAAATCAAAAATCCATTGGGATTATCCATCATTTCACATCATCCAAGGAGACTTGCAGTAGCAAATACTGGTAACAATACTGTAAAAATATTCAATTATTAAAAATTGATAGTCAACTGGCTGCTATTGTTGTTGTGTGGTCTTTTATAAAATATTAATTTACAGGTGAATACCTACATATATATTATTTCATATCATTCTTAAATTTGCAGTTGTGATTACCAAACTGTATAAACTTATTAATTTTGATGATGATGATACTGCTCACTTGTTTATGTTACATTTTTCATCTACTGAATCACACACCATATTAGGAATACCAACAAACATGTATATTATTTAATATTAAATGGAAAAATGTATTGAGTCAGATCCATAGCATCCTCATTGTGTATATTTATTTATAGAGTATTAAACATACTTCCATTTAATTTCATTTTCATTACTTTTATTATAAATTCAATATGAAAACAATTGCATTATTTTTATGTTGAATCAACTCATGTATGGCTGAGAATTATGTGAAGAGACAAGAATAATTCTGTCAACAATCACATTTTTGTAATTTATATCTCCACATTTTAAATGTATTACTGGGTAGTTTTGTAAAATATATATAACTATTCTAGGAAATATTCTTTTTGAATAATTATTTTTAATTATTGTCATTGTGTAGTTTACAGTAATGCCATGTTAGCCAGCTATGAATTTTCAATTAGAAAATTTCTTGTGGTAAAAATTAACTTTAAAAAAATATACTTTAAACATTTTGATCAAAATAAATGTTATGGTAGGTTATTATATTGCAAAGGGGTAAAATAGTCTCATCTGGTTTCTAATAGTTGACGAAGCCTGACTGACTAGGCTAGGCTACTATCAGTCTACTACAACAATACAATTATTATACAACAAGGAGAAAATTGTATTAAAAATATTGGTAAAAAACAAAAAAAAAGTATAAAACTGGTTTAACACAATATATATATATATATATATATATATATATATATAGAACTGGAGGTCGCTGGAACAGAATGTTGCTACTCGGAGTTTCACGCTATTGCGATCGTCAGGCAACTGATGAAAGGTGAACGTTGTGTGGTGTGTCTCTTATACACATCT